CTGCTGCTGCTCTTAGAGAGGCAAACTCCACAGCTGTCAATAGTCTTGTTGCTAGTGACCATAAAACGATGAAAGTAGATGCAGTAGAACGGAGTCTCCCAGTGCACACTGCAAAGTGATTCACTCTTCATTCATCCAGGCATATTCTATTTGCTGCACTGAAATGTGTGACATTCAATCATTAGCTGCACTGAAAGGGAGAGAAAGAAAGAGTGCACATGTACACTCGCAATTGTCATGCAAGAACCCATTGGCGCCACATTGAGGCAGCACTACCTGGTCAGTGAGGCTTGACTAGCTGCTGCTGCTGCTGTTGCTGCTGGTTAATGTCTCCCCAGTGGCATCAACAGCAGCAGCAGCAGCAGCAGCAAAAGCACAGTCGCCTCCGGCAAGCGAGTGGATTGGGCCAGTAGTGGTCTGTCTGTGCGTCTGTGTCTGTGAGTGTGTGATCGTAATCGCCTGAGAGTGCCAGTCAGATAAGTCAGCAGAAGCAGCAGCAGCTGCAGACAGCAGCAGTGCCCCACCCGGCTATTGCTGACAATGCAGTGCCCACCCTGAGCGGCGATGCCCGTCATCTGCCCCAGCCGCGCTGCTGCACAAGCTTCGAATAAAAGGCAGCTTGCCTGTCTCCGATTGCCGGCACTTTTACTCTACGTGACTGCTCACTACCTTCCTTCCCTGTCCACGCTGTCTTCGCTCATACCATTCTCCCATTCACTCACTCGCTCACTGACACTGACAGAGACCACTTGCCGGCTCGCCTTGCATTCCCTCATCACCAGCACTCTCTGAGACTTTAGTCTTAATTTGACCATCTTCTTCTTCCTTTCCATCCATCTACCACCACCCACTTCAGCCACCTGAAAATGACCGACCAGGCTACCCTCGACAAGCTGAACGCCGGCTTCAAGCGCCTGCAGGACTCCAAGGAGTGCCACTCGCTGCTGAAGAAGTACCTGACGCAGGATGTCTTTGACAAGCTGAAGTCTCGCAAGACCGCCATGGGCGCCACCCTGCTCGATGTCATCCAGTCAGGTGAGTGCATTGGGGTGTTTAATAATCGGATTCACAGTGATCTTAGACCTCAGTTTGTTTGCCGGTGACTAATAGACAAACGCCGGTCAAACTGGTAATTTGAGATTTAAGCGCCAACTGAGCCGATTCATGCACTTTCAGAGTCTGCGTACAACAGAAATTGTTTAACGGTTACTAATGTCATTCTTTTTTGGTATTTTTATTTTCACCAGGTGTTGAGAACCTCGACTCCGGCTGCGGTGTGTACGCTCCGGACGCCGAGTCGTACAAGACCTTCGGCGAGCTGTTTGATCCGATCATCGAGGACTACCACGGTGGCTTCAAGCCCACTGACAAGCATCCGCCGTGCGACTTTGGCGACATCAACCAGTTCGTCAACGTTGACCCGGAGAACAAGTACGTCATCTCCACTCGAGTTCGATGCGGTCGCTCTCTGCAGGGCTACCCATTCAACCCCTGCCTCACTGAAGCTGTAAGTCATTGCCTAGTTTTGTTGGGGACCAGAGTGTGTTCTAATGCAATACATCATTTTACTTGAAATCTACAGCAATACAAGGAGATGCAGGACAAGGTGAAGGCCCAACTGGCCACCTTCGAGGGCGAGCTCAAGGGCTCCTACTTCCCGCTGACTGGCATGGACAAGAAGACCCAGCAGCAGCTCATTGACGACCACTTCCTCTTCAAGGAAGGTGACCGTTTCCTGCAGGCCGCCAACGCCTGCCGATACTGGCCAACTGGTCGTGGCATCTACCACAACGATGCCAAGACCTTCCTCATGTGGGTCAACGAGGAGGGTAGGTTTTTCAATCTGCAAAAATGTTTATATGGTATTAAATCACCCCTTTTCAATCCCCCTTTTCAGATCACCTCCGCATCATTTCCATGCAGAAGGGCGGCGACCTAAAGCAGATCTTCGGTCGTCTCGTCAAGGCCGTCAAGCACATTGAGCAGAAGATTCCTTTCTCGCACGACGACCGCCTGGGCTTCCTCACCTTCTGCCCGACCAACCTGGGCACTACGATCCGTGCCTCGGTGCACATCAAGCTGCCCAAGTTGGCTGCCGACCGCAAGAAGCTGGAGGAGGTGGCCGGCAAGTACAACCTGCAGGTCCGTGGCACTGCCGGTGAGCACACCGAGTCGGTGGGTGGTGTCTACGACATCTCCAACAAGCGCCGCATGGGTCTGACTGAGTACCAGGCCGTGAAGGAGATGCAGGACGGCATTCTGGAGCTCATCAAGATTGAGAAGTCTATGTAAACATGCAAATGTGCAGCTGCTGCCGACCACCACTTCTTACCAGGCCAGCAAAATACTGCTCTATCTCTCTCAAAATTGCTGCTCCTACTTTTATTTCCACTTTTAATTATAAAAAAACACATTCAGTTTCAATTACTCGCAGCTATGTCACTTTCTCTGTCACTGTGTAGTCAAGCTCATTACTTCTTGGAATTACAAATTCGGCAACTCCTCTACCCCTAAGTCTACTTGAAACTCCTAATTTCTTTGCTGATAATTCTTATTAGAATTGTCATCAGGCAGTCTTTATTTTTGTGCTTCTTTCTTCTCTTCACCATCATAAAAAGCGTCACCAGAAAAGTGGTGATTATCTTTGAACTCTGAAAAAGTATAAATAAAAGCAGTTTTTGAGTTGTGAGTTTGTGACTTCCGCGTACGTTTTCCTCTCTTTTCTCTTTTCCCTTTTG